GTTTAAATACTAGAAATAAGTTGGAAAAAGTAAAAAAAAAGCTTAAAAAACAGTAAAAAAAACAGAATGAAGCTGAAACTTGTACAAAAGAAAGTGATAAAAGCAACAAAAATGTTTGACAAGGCTAAAAGTAGCTAAAATTACCAGAAACAAGTTCAAATTAAAAACATTTTCACATTTTCAAAAACAAAACTAAACAAAAAAAAACCTAAATAAAGAAAAGGGGTTCAAAAAAAGTTGCATTTTGATTAAACATAGCCCAAACAGCTGAAAATACCAGAGAAACAGCTTAAATAAAGCTGAAAAAGCTGAAATTAGAAAAAAGTTGTAAAAGCTCAAATGGCATTAAGATGTTGAAGCATTTCACAGAACTTATAAGTATTTCAGTAAGAAAAATGCTTTAAAGCTCAATATTTCATATTTTTAATATATCAATTCAAAAATTATACCACTCATGGCAGAAATGAGCTGAACGTTTTGATATATAAATTATTGAAACGGTACAAAAACTGTGAAATGAGATAGATGCCAAAAAATGTACGGAATAGGGATATTAACGATTAGCAATAATAAAAGAGAAATATAATCATTAATTAACTACAACAGTTTTCTGCACACCAGCAGTTGTTGTTTGTGATGGGAAACAAGTTAAATTCAGGGCTACAGTCTGTTCTTGTGGTAGTCATGCTTACACAAGAACAAATACGACAACATTTTGTTTAGCTTTCATCACAGTTTCATAAATGAGGTTGTAGATGTTCTGTGCAGGAAAGTATATATATATATATATATATATATTCCAAAAGGTTAAACTAAACTGAAACACTTAATTACTCCTTGTCGTTTACCTGCTCTGTGCTTTAGTCCACTTCAGGGCGTGTCGGGGAGGCACAACCGTCGTTGGATGGTAGAAGGTACAACCGGCTCGTTTGCACTGCGTTGCAAAGCGGCAAGGCTGTGAAGAGGACGAGCAAAATTCAGACTTGTTCAAAAAGTTGTTAAAGTGGGCATGCAAGGCTACTTCTGTCGGTCACCTTTGGGTGGTAAAATGAACAGTCCATCTTTTTACACTCTGGGAAGAAGCGGCACACACTTGTAGTTTGCGCTGACTGCACTGCTGTAAACACAGAAAAATAATTAGAGGGAAAAAAATACACTACTGAAATGTAAAGTTATTCATTTACAATCAAAGAAAAAAACTCCCCAGCTGCTCCAGTTGGGGCAAAAGAAACCCCTAACATAAGCTCCCAGCATCAGGTCGTTCTTTAAACCCTCATCCTGTCCAGAAACAACAGAATGTTTAAAGTTACCTGGTCTGAGTGGAGGAGCGGCAACGCCTCTACGGTTGACGTGAGTAAAAGGACAGTCTGGTTTGGTGCAACGGGCGTCGTATTTACAGTTAGGGTGCACAAAGAGGCATTTCTCCCCAAACTTGCAATTGGGGAAAGTCCTAAAGAAAAAAATATGAAATCTCAATGTAAACTCGAGTAAATAACCTTATTATCTGTGTCATTTTAAAGCCAGGTACTAACTTGCACTGGGTTGTTGGGTGATGGTACAAACACTCATCTCCACTTTTGCACACGGGCCAGAACTTGCAGCGCTCCAACACCTTCTGCTTCTTCACAGGAACAGCGTCCTCATCTGCCAGCTCAACGTCCATTCCTTCATCTGTCAACAGAAGGCAGAATGTAATGAATATAAAATATTTAAAACACATCAAAAAATTTATAGATTAAATTTAAAAGAATACCTTCTGATGATGCTGGAACTGCCTGTAATCTGTGCAGGACGCTGAGTTTAGACTCTCTGTGGACATTCCCAGCTGCCTCGGTGACCTTTGTGGGTGGTCTCACATCATCCAGCTCCATGTCTCCATCTGTGAGGTTCCCCATGGGGCTTGGTACTCCATCTAACGTCACTATGAACTTTGGGCTGGATGAGGAGTCAACTCCCTCCCTGCAAACATGACAAAAAGTTAAGTGGGAACAACTGGCATCTAAAAAGAAAAAAGGTCAGTAAAATCTTAAACAGTGCAAGAACCTGGCTTGAACGGTACGAGGCAACGCAGACTGGACCTGCTGCGGACTTCTGACCGGAGGTTCCTCCAGTACGGGTCGACTCATTATGAAGGAGCGGGTGTCAAAAGGCTTTTGTTCACACTCAGCAGCTGCTGCTGCAACACCTAAAACAAAAGCATACTTAAATAAGCAACTGACTTGTTTACATTTATTTTAGTGGGGAACAAAACAAAACATTTTTCCAAATATGATCCAGACAGAACACAGAAATTTACAACAGTGGACTGATTTCGTTCTTTAAATTTCTCCTCTTAAAGGAAACTCCAAACAGCTGTAACATTAGACTTTATTTGATAAAAATTTACTTCAACTTTATAGAGAAGACTGAAAAAATACTGATGGCCGTTTAGTTCTTCTAAACATTAAAAAAAATTGTCACAAAGACAGCGCCATAGTTTTGTGGAGGGCTCACCTCAGCTTTAGCCTTTTAGCTTTCGCGTTATCTCATAAGCTAACACATTTAAATTTAGCAAGAATATGCGTTGGTTCCAGAACTAAAAATATTAGCTCACTATAAGTAAAGTTCTCTGTAAGCGCTGCAACACTAAACCGTCTCACCACCGCAGCAGTTCAAGCCTGAAATATCATTTCAGTTTAAAACCAGAGTAAACAAACAGAGGGATGTTCTGCATACGAAGCTAACCAAGTTGAGAAAAAAAAAAGAAAAAGTAAGACCGGCTTGCTTTGCTTTACTTGTTTAGTTTAAAAAAAATCATTGCACCTTTTTAATATGAAACAATACCTAAAAAATACTCTAAACATCTTGAAGTCATAGTTATATTTTGTGCATAATAACGATTAATCAAGAAATCTATATTTTTTTGTCATTACAAATGAGTACTACATGAGGAATGAAAGATACTGAAAAAAAATACAATGAAAAAAGGATGTCACAAAAAAAGAGAAAAAGTAAAACACAAGAAAGTACAAAAATGCACAGTGTCACAGATGGAGTGTCTTACAACATACAAACGTATATATTGCATACACACACACACATCCATATATA